ACAACCTTTACCATGGGTTCAAATTCAGTTTTCAATGAATTCTTTTATTTTTTACATTTAGAGAATTGGAAGTGATAGTAGTAATTTTGGTGTTGAAAAGTGGGTAGAATGAAGCTGTAAATATGGCTGTCAGTTGCTAGTTTGGTGTGAGGCAAAAACAGTCATCAGTCCATAGTATGTAAAATAGACAAATGAAAAGAAGTAGATGAAAAATGACCAAAGAAATTTGGATGTTGTCCATTGAAATTACACCATGACACAAAACAACCAAATTTTGGAAAATAGAAGAGAAGGGTAAAATAGTCATTTCCAGCATTCAGTATAATTAGTTAGAGCCATAATCAAACAACATGGTTTCAATCAGAGGTAGTTTCAGTCAGAGCTTCAGACCCAGTCAGACTCTGACTCGGTCAGATCTTACTCGATCAGAAACTATCAAATAGCCTAAGATGAATGAGTTGAAAAAAAACATAATTATGAATGCCTCATTATGCAAAGGGAGTAGATAAAAGGTCGGTGGAGAAGATAAAAGGTCTAAGATGAGAAGATGGACAACCAAGAAGTTGTTGTGACAAACCATATCTTATCTGATCTTATCTTATCTTATATACTTTTCTTTCACCACATTCATTTGAAACTTCTATGTATTTTTCTTTTCACCACATTCAATTCAAACTCTCATGACTTTTCAATTTCTTTCTAATAATAATTATAAGTTGGTTAATAAGGTTAAATAAATATCAAACCTAAAGTGTAATCATATATAAACTAAATTTCAATATTAAAATAATATCTTTATTTCTACTTATAAAGTTAAGTTTTTTAACTTTTAACATATTATACTTAATTTATTAGTTTTAATATATTGTTAGATGTAAATCGTTATCATTTTAAAAATACAATTTTGGAACAATTTGTATAAAATACTTAAATTATTAATTTAAATATAACATTATAGGGTCAACTTTAATATAAATTTTAGTTTAACTTAAACAACCCAAAAAATATTTTGTAAATGGTTAAAAGTGATAAATTATAGTGTCTTTCTAATAATGATTATAAGTTGGTTAATAAGGTTACATAAATATCAAACCTAAAGTGTAATCATAAATAAACTAAATTTCAATTTTAAAATAATATATTTACTTCTACTTATAAAGTTATGTTTTTAACTTTTAACATATTATACTTAATTTATTAGATTTAAAATGTTGTTGTATATAAACCATTATTAGTTTAAAGTTATAACTTTTGAACAGTTTGGACAAAATACTTAAATTGTTAATTTAAATATAACATTACAGTGTCTACTTGAATATAATTTTCATTTACACTTAAAAAACCAAAGAATATTTTGTAAATAGTTAAAAGTGATAAATTGTAGTGATAAATGCAAAAACTAAATTGTAATCTCAATTTAACTAAAATATTTCCTAAATATATTTTTATAATCGTTAAAAGTTTTTCAAATAAGTAGCTTAAAATAACTTACAATAAAATAGTTAAAATAACTCTATAAATTATTATATTGTTACATTTAAAATCAAAAAACAATGTTTGATGTTTTAAATAATTATAATGATAGAAATTAAAACATTAAACATAAAAATTTTAAAAAATTAATTAACAATAACAACAACTATAAATAACATTAAACCATATATTATATTTAATTTTATTCATGTGTAACTCGCCAGTAGAAGTCATTCAAACGATTGAGATTATGCAGTTATAATAGATGTATATATTATCATATAATTCAAAATAATCAATATATTATATCAATTTAGTATACAAATTATTAGATTAAATTTAACCACAACATTATTGTTATATTTAAAAAAACATATATTTGTACAGACTTCAACTATATATGTGTTTCTGCGCAACGCGCGGGCATTCGCCTAGTTAATAATATAGAGTAGTCATCTGTCAACAAGGCAGCCACGTGGCATAGTAACGAAATACATAATGCAAAACAAACTAAATGGTTTTAGTGTCCAGTTATAAGGCTAAGGGGAGTGATAACACTCCTAACACCTTGTCACGTCAGATTTTGGAGTGTCGTCACATTTTTGACCATTTAATACTTAATCTTAGCATTTGGTAGGGAGTGGTAACACTCCTAACACTCCATTTTTTTTATTTTTTTTTTCTAATTTAATTAAATTACTTTATTTTAATATAAAAACATTTTTTGTGCATAAATATTAAACAAAATTTATTTTTTTAAACCACAAACAATTAATATAAAATCAATTATATTTTTTAAAACACAAACATTCACTACAAGGATCGAGCTCTATGCAGACGACAATTAGGGACTCTGTACCGACGACTTGTCGTCGGTAAAGCTTATACTGACGACATGTCGTCTATAAAAAGTCGTCGGCATAGATCCGTCGGTAAAAGTCGAAAATGTCGTCGGGACAGGAGTCGTCAGTATAGAATAACCAATCCAGACGACAAGTCGTCGGCAAAGGATCGTCGGGATTGATTTTCGAGGAAATAAGAAAAAGTTTTATTTGGTCCCTATACCGCCGACTTGTCGTCGGGAAAAATGAGACCTTATACCGACGACTTGTCGTCGGGAAAAGTATGAGCAATACCGACGACATGTCGTCTGGAATGGGGAAAACCGTTTTTACAGTTGCAAAGCTGTACCGACGACATGTTGTCGGTATAACCTTTTTTTTCACAGGTTTTGTTATATATACCAAATCTGTTTTTTAAAACAAAGCCAAAAAGGATATTTGCAGAATAATATAAACATAACATAACATAACATACCATTAAAATCCAAAAACACTTAATAAACCTAACATACCATTCAAATTCTACTACATAACGTACCATTCATATTCTACTACATAACAAAATAACAAAAAAAAACAAGTTTTTAACAAACATTGTTGTCACCATCGTTCTAGTTCTAGTTCTAGTTCTCCTCCTCATCATCATCATCATCATCACCACCACCATCAACATCATCATCATCATCCTCCTCGTGTTCATTGGATGTTTTAGGGTTATTTTGTGAAAACATATTGGGATTAAACTGGAATTGTGGCATTGGTTGTGGTTGGAAGTTTGGAATGACGGACGCGAAAGTGTTATTAAACATTTGGTTCATTTGTAGCATTTTTTGTTGCATGATTTGAATTTGTTGGGATAATACAACAACTTGGGGATTATCTTGGATTATCTGAAGATTGGGATGTGGAAGCTTTGGAACGTTTGGTATGTTCATTGGTTTCCTTCCAATTTTGTCGGCATAGGATGACAAAAACGACGGCGTCTTGACTTTTTGCTACAAGGAATTAAAATAAATCGAAAATATTTTTTTAGTTCCTTTTCCAGACGACATGTCATCGGTAAAGATTTTCGATATACCGCCAATATTTTAACGTTTCCCGCCGAGTCTATACCGACAACTTGTCGTCGGCATAGCTCTTCTGGTCAAAGGCAGATGGTCAATGTTTTAAAAAGTTGTATCGACGACATGTCGTCGGTACAGGTTGACTTTTGCCAACGACATGTGTCGTCGGGATAGGTGTCGTCTTCATAGGACTCTATTCTTGTAGTGATTTCATATTAAATTAAAAAAGTTGCAACAAATTAAAACTTTAAATACCTAAAAACATGATTTAATAATTCAAGCCACGACAAACATGACTTAACACCGACAGACACAACTTAATACCTAGAAACACGATTTAATACATAAAAAACACACTTCATAACTAAAACACACTTCATAAAAAACACACTAAAGCAACGTGTCTTCCTCCAAACATTGGCCTTCCTATTCGTCTTCGCGTGACATATTTAGATCAAGATTGTCCATCGTCCAAAGATGATCGGTCAAATGGCGGCGAAGATCGGTATTGATTATTGCACGAGGAATTATCCTCATTCTTTGTATTCATTCTTGACCACCATATTCTAATGGTTGTGTCTCTTGGATGACTTTATTCTTGTCGTACGTACATATCGTGTTTCCTTCATGTTCTATTATCATATTATGAAATATGATACATGAATACATCACCTCTGTCATAGTAGAAATATCAACATGCTTTT